CTTCGATTCTCGTCTCTCTCTCTCTTTACCCTCTTTCTTGCCGTCGTGGCCATTAAGGAGCCCCCACTGCAGTCACTATCTTGATTGTAGTTGTCCCAGATGAAGATGATAAGCTCGTTATTTTCGGATTGAGAGAAGCTATGTTGAAGTTTGGCTCAATCCTAGGGAATCCTGAAACCCCGTCACTCGAGTTTAGATGCAGAGAAAAGGCTGGCTCTAGAAGAACGGATGACGAACAAACATGTTCTCCAGGGTGGCTATCTTGGCAGTTACAGGCAACCACTTGAGAGTCCTGATTGGCTAAATGTGATCCTCTTCTGCTTCTTCTTCTTCTTCTTCAAACTGCATCGAGGATCCTGAGGAAGGGGGGAGGTAGTCCCGGGTCAATAAATGGGGGAATTTTGGAGGACTCTTCCCCATACAAGACACGGACAGATTGTGCTATTGTAGAACAGAGTCGATGGCAAATCAAGTTCAGGAGTTTTACCAGGAGCATCTACTGCTTCTCAAAGCCATTGAGAAAGCTTTTCCTTTGGAGTACAAGTAGAAACCACTTCTTTTCCTTTAGATTGGAGAACCTTCTAGTCCCTGTTACAATTGGCAACGAGAAAAGAACTAGTATGCTCACTGCTACCCATGTTACCAAGGCCAGGCAATAAACCCAATCATGTTTCAGGTGTGGCAAACTAGCTGGCAAATCACCAAGACCCAATTTCATATCTGTAATGCGGGTGTGGAATTTCAGTGGCCCATAAAATAGGTAATATGCAAGTGATTGGCATTTGTGACCCATAAAATAGGTAATATGCAAGTGATTGGTGGTGGAGGTAGTTGTCAGTGGCTTTGCTGGTGCTGTTGTGACGGTAGCGGCGTGGTGAGGGTGGTCGAAAGTGGCCATAATGGTAGTGGCGATAGTCTATGACCAAATGTTTGAGGATCTGTGACCAAATGTTTGATAATTTGTGACCAATTACTCAATTGTGACCTAAAAATTTAATAATATGTGACTTAAAAATAATCTTTGATCAACTAATTTAAAAATCTGTGACCTCAAAATAATTTGTGATCTCGAAATAATCTGTGATCAATTAATTTTAAAATATGTGACATGTGACCTATAATTACTTTGAAAATATGTGACTGTGTGACATATAAATTTTGATAT